AAAGACAGCTTAATGTTAACTAAGAAGCATACATAAAAAAAAATATTAAATTAAAAAGTCACCTATTGACAACATAGAATCTCAAATCAAAGGTTTGAGATTTCTTAATCTATCATTCTGAAATTGGCTGTGTGATCTTTTAAGTGTGTCTACTTCTTTAAAAAACTATGATTTAATTTGTTTAAAACCAAAGATGTTTTAATTAACATTTAAAGGCACTGCACCACGTTTTTTGTGAATCATTTCCTGATTACCAGTGGTACATTGACTGACTAAAAGGCCATTTCAGGGCAAGAATTGTAAAATAATTGCAATATACCCTGCTGCTGGGGATTTATTTATCAACACATTTCATTATTACTCACAGCATTTATTGCTTAACTGACCAGTCAACCGGGAGGGTTTTTTAGAAGGTTTCACAGGGAGTCCGCTCCTGAGAAGTTGAACAAAATTAAATGAAGCATGAGGCAGTTCACTGGGGCTACCATTTTGATGAAGATGGGCGTTTAATATATTTATTTAACGGACATTATTGTCTTCACAGGGATAGATTAATGAGAAATCCCACATGTAACGTCTTAAATGAACAGAAAAAGAAATGGCCGTGATCTCTCGCCCGGCCTCATCAGAGGAGAGCAGCCCACCTCTGCTCCGCGCCGTGCCAGGACCCCCGCACCAGACAGCGTGCTTGTTCAAAGCCAATTTTTAATTGAATGTCAGTGAAGCAAGAAGAGAACTGGCCACTAATTAACGCCTGTCTTAATTGTCCTCGTGACGAGTTTGTTTGGACATCATTTGCATAATTAACACCCAGTAATAAATCATTTAAAGGGGAATTGTCTGTCAGACAGCAGGGCAGGATGTGCTTCCTTTGTGCCAGGAAGTTTTATCGCCAAAAACAGGGATCAGGGGCCGAAAAACTGAGCCTTTCTTAATAACGATCTTTTATTAATGATCTTCGGTCAAGGTTGCAGCAGACCTGTTTTAATATTTATATGAATGAATTAGTAACGTACAGCATATGTCCTCCTACTGTTTCAGTCACTGTGGTCTGTCCTGAAGAATCCGTCTTATTTCATAATAACATAGAATTGTGATTTTGTTTTTATTAGACTGGATTTCTTTCTGGATTTCAGAGGGCAGAGGTTTCCTGCAGACCAGCGGGATGTACTGAAGATGAGGGCGGACGGATGAATGGACAGATGAATGGAAGAATAGAGCGATGAAGATTCCTCATTTAAGAGAAATACAAAGGACAGGCATGCTCAGTCGCGTATCGTTGTGGCATCTGAGAGACACATCTGGCCTCCTCACGGGGACTCCCCTACATTTCAAAGGGTGACATTTGAACTTTTCTATTGTTCACTTGTTTAATTTATTGCATTTATCTGCAAATCTCCGCCGTAGTGGGAACAGTACTTTATCCTGATGATGTGTTTGACTGTGTTTCTTTCAATCAAGGTTTTTAGATCCTAGATGAAAATGACCATTGTTGTTTTTTTTGTCAGTGCTGTTTATCTGGACACAAGTGATGAATATAACTTGCAACAGAGTTGTGTACATATATATAGTCATCCTTTTTGTTATTATTATTATTATTACCACAAAAACATAAAGGCATGTTGTACAGTCAGTAAATGACTTGTATTGTGTATGTTATGCAGTAGTGCAGTTTGACAATACAAACAATACAAATCCTTTTTATTAAAATTGTGTCAGTGCTTCTTTCTTCAATTACATTTGTATTCTCTTTAATGGTTGCTTATTTATATTTTTATAAGGGACTTTTAGGTTTTTTCCCTCTGAAATAGATGGCACCTGTCTTAAATGTGGATTTATAATGTCGTTTTTTTGTTGTTGTGACAGACACTTCTGCATTCTGTGTCACAGCAACCCCTTGAGATTTGATTTGCATGTGTGGAGGAGGGGCAGGTCTATGTGAATGCATGTCTACACATATGTGAGGGTTTAGAGAGTGATGTGACATTGATTCTTGCACCATCTCCAAAAACATACACGTAAGTATCGACAGACAGACAGGAAGGTGGTAAGCAGGGTCACATGTGAGCTGTCCTTTAGTGAAACATGATGACGACGCACTCCCTCTGTGGCTGCACTCATTTTAAATCATGTTTCAGGAGAGAAAAAGGCTTAGGGACTTCTCAAGCTAAACTTTGATCAGTTAAAATTTAAGAAATAGTTTGGTACATTTATAGAAAGATAACACAAGAAATAAATCAAGAATTGTGCAAGAAAGAACAGACAGTGGTGGCTATTGTATAATCTTTGCTGGCTACATTTCATAATTGTAGTAGCTGGAACTGTACCTAATTGCAAACTATTGATTTTCTTTTGGTACTTGTTTTGAAATACAGCCCTAAAAATGTCTGGTGATATAAATCAATTATATCCAAACTTGTCATTTAGAATTGGTAAAAAAGTATTTCTGCATACACATTAGAGAGATATTTGACAAAGTAAATCTGAGCTGTTCTATGTCAGTAATAGCAAAGAGGCTGAAGAGGTAAAAAACTACACCAAGAGTTCCTCGACCGATGGGCTAATGAATGAACATTTAATCAAATATATGAAGGGTCAACGATCACAAACTCTGTTGATTGTTTTAAGATATTTGTAGCACTTATTTTACTTCAAGACACACAGTAGATGCTAAGAATGTGCAGGTTTCTGAGTCACAAGTAATAAATCTCACATTGTTCTGAAGTCCTTTGTTGTGCCCAAAGAATCCTTGAAGAACGCCACATTTTGCTCATTTGCAACCTTGTATAAATGTTCAGTGCCATTTCCTGGACACAGGCAGATAAGCTATCACAGCGGGGCTAAAACAATACCTCGGTTACAAGCTATTCTTCCTGAATACAGAGTGGCTGACAAGTGAAAAGCAATAATTCACATACATGAATGTGTGAATGAGTCATCAGCTTTTTAGATGACCACCTCAGAGGCTGTCTTAAAAAGGTTTGCGACTTCATTCAACACCGCTCTACTCTTCTCCACTCTCACACACACAAACAAACAATCACACACACACACACACACACCCTTCACATCTCACAGAGTATTGTCCTGCCGAGAGATGTGTAATGGAAAAGATAAATGGAGGATAAAGCTAAGGTGACAGGACGGAGCATGCATGTGTGTATGTGTATTTGCATCTCGTGTGTGTGTGTGTGCGCGTGTGTGCGTGTGTGTGCCCGCGTGTGTGTAGTGCACAACAGACCAGCAAACCATCTGCTCATCTCCTCTTAATGAACAAAGCAAACAGCAGGAGTCAAGGCTGTCTCCAAATCTGGAGTCTCTTTATTGGTAAGCACACACAAGCACACACACACATACACACATGCACATCTCTGCGCTGTTTAATCTGATTATCTTTGATTGAGAACAGGGGCAAAGCAACCTTTTTAGACCTCTCTCCTACATCAGTGACAGAGAAGGTCTGAAACACAATTAGCAATCTGTTCCTGAGCTCTGCTCTGCAGTCACATCTGACCACAAGCAGCCAAATAGACCTAATGGGTGGGAACTAACCAATGGGAACTAACACGCACAATGCATCTGTGGATGATGGGGAAACGCAACACTATTAGACAGCTGTTCGCCATATCTTTTCAAATGTACTTGGATGAAAAATAAGCATGGGATCAATTGGCTCAGGAGCAATCACAGCCAGGCATGAAGGTACACACAGGGTTGGATGTGAAGAAATCTGGCAGCCTGAAGTGTAAGACAAAGCCGGACCGCTGCAAAGGAAGTCTGGACCTTGACAAGATATGACACTGTGTGTATAAGGCCAAGAGGACCATAAGAAAAAGACATTAATCTGGACTCTATGTGGCCACATCCTGCTCAGGGCCCCGAGGATAATTAACAGTTACCTCTCAGTCAGCAGGCTCACCACATGGCTTCAAGACATGAAACACTCCCTGTCTGCTGCTTCTCTGCATATACAACCCATGAACATACTGAGCAAATGGATCATGAATGACAAACATTATTAGACCAGCATCAGAGCCTGGGGAACCCTGTCTGAGGGGCATCAGATAACAGCAGGGGGACATCGTGGGTAGGAAAATGCCCTTTATAAGAAGGATCATATCGACAGCATCCCGTTGGTGTGAGCAGGTTCCAGCTGCACGAGGGCCACAGTTGTTAGATCTGGTTGTTAACCTGGGGGTCACAAAGTTACACATGGAGAGGACACTGGTGTCACTGCCGTGTCTGTGTGGATGCACATGATCATTCATAAAATATATTTACAGGTTAGCTTAAAATAATTTGATCTCATCAGCAAAATAAGTTTTATTTTCTTTAAAGCCTTTTATTTTTAAAGGTTGTTCAAATCTATTTCTCGTACGTTCTTTTATATTGTTTTATGTTGACTTTCTCCTGAAGATTTTTGGCTTGCTTGTTTTGAATGTGGATTTCCTTTTTTAGAGAGAGACACATTTTATTATAATAATTATTGTTAATATTACAATAAGTATTTGTTGTCTGCACTGTAAAGACTGGATGTTTTATTATTTTATGATTACTTTAGCTTTTTATTTCATAATTTTGAGTTGTTTAATACTTTTTGTTGAGTTACTTTTATTTGAACATGCATTATAATTATCACTTAAGACCCAAATACATTTATTTTCTGTATGATTTTGATCACAGTAATATGATTTTATTGATATCACTGTATAAATATTATTATTTGTATAATCATTAGATAAATTAAATGGAAATGCTTATATTTGTTAGCAATTGAGCACTGGACCAAATGCATAACTTATTGATTTCCTTAATGCTCTATTCTTCCCTCAGCAATAAAGACCTGACTGTAAAATAGTCGTTTGGAAATTATCTTATCAAAATATCTGGTGATCCTCATCTCTTCCTCACTGCAGAGCGACACTGCCCTCTGCTGGCCAGTATTACTTAACGTCAGCGGACCGCAAACTCACCTTTTTTGGGCCTCTCGGGCTCCTGTAGCAGATCCCCTTTACCGCTGTCCGCTGTATCTTTTTCCTCACACAGCATGGATCCTTTCTACAACTTTATTTCGGTGTTTTAGAGTTGGTTTGTGTTTGGCTTTGGGAATAAGGGACTTCGTTACCTCTTCTGGACACCATGTTTACCACCACCGGCTCTCGGGGGCTGTGTAAGTATCCCGGATCCCCGGTAAACGACAGCCGTGATGTGGCTACCCTCTCATCGCTCCTCCTGTCAGTTACAACAGCTAGCTTAGCTAACCCACGTTAGCATTGTTCTGTCATTCATTTACTCTTGGTATTATGTATACGTTAAACCTGCGTTTGGTTAATAAACTTCATATGTATTTAGTCAGTGTGTTCAGCAAAGGTTTCGTCGTTTAAAATAATACAAATATGTGGAAAGGGGAGTCCACTGAAAACCTAAATAACCAGCTACTGTCTGCCCTGCCCCCATACAGAAATCAGCCACTTCTCTCCCTTCAATTGACAAAGCTGTGGTCTAATTTACTGTAACATAATAAGCAAGATGTTGTGTGTGTGTGTATGTGTTGTTTACAGACAAGGCTCCTCTGTCTAAAGGCCTACTACTGGTTCTCAATTGTCTGACTGTGATGCTCACCCTGCTGCCTCAGTACCAGGAGCTGTTCGTATACACTCTGCAGGTCACACAGCACCAGGTATGTCTCCTGTCTGTCTGAGAGAAACACACACTGGTGAGGGGCTAACAACCATACCCAGTATCTCCAGATATAAAACTAAAGATATTTTAAAGCAGAACTCGTATACTGCCACTCTCATAGTTCTATACATTACCTACTATGTGGAGGTGTGGGGAAACTCATGCAAAACCAAGCTTTAATAATTTATTATAGAATTTACATGCTTTAAAATGTGATCTGGATGGGGAAGGTGTTTGACTATGTGTATATGTGCATATATGTATAGTATATATGTGTATGTATGTATGTACATATGTGTATAGGTATACTAGGGAGGCGTGTGGCACAGTGGGTAGAGCGTTGGTGTTCGGATCAAGGTTCAAACCCCACTGCAGTCAGCATGTCGTTGTGTCCCTGGGCAAGACACTTCACCCCAAATTGCTAAATCGCTTTGGATAAAAGCGTCTAACAAGTAACATGTAATGTAATGTAATGGTATATATGTCAATCAACAGGTAAAGCAGATAATTAATAATAATGATAATAATTATTGCAGATTATAGATTATAAATAAATCATTTAGGGACAAGGGGGTGAAATTAAATAAATTATACTTCTTCTCACTCCTTTTCGAACACTAGATGTGGGACTGTTTATGTTGCTAATGCTGTTGTTGTTGTTGTTGTAAATGTCATTTTTTTTTCTCTCTCTCTTACATGACTATGCACTGCAATATGTTTTTTGTTTTGTAATTATTTATTTTACTTTTTCGAAATAAAATGTATCAATCAAAATCTGATTGTTCTTAACACAGGGATTATGTATGAAGGGCAGAATAATTTGATATCTTTCTGTTACTGTATTCAGAAGTTGTTGAAAGGAAAGGGCTAGTATGGATTTTGGACAGTTGGTATGTTTATACATCTATGCACATCTGTCAGGTTAACCTGTGTACTGGATGTGACAAGAAATCTTAAATGTGTAGTTCACTTTGCAAGCATTTAAAAAAAAAAAAATAAGGCTATAAATAAACATGTAAGGTATGATTATTTACAATGTTTGGAACTTTGATTGGGTTTCTGTCTCTGTGTTCTTTTGTTTTTATATACCTTTAACCTAGTAGTGAAAGGGTTGCCTATTTGAGTATGTAATTTCTCTAATGTAAAAATAGTATGTTTGTATCTATACATTGGTGGAGATACAAAGAGATCAAATAAACACAGGTTTTGGGGACAAAGGGTTTTAAACACTAGAATCCCTAAATACATGAATCATTATCATGACAAGAGTTTGATAATAATTTGAAATGTAGTGCTACTTGAGGGCTCTGCTATGTGAGATATAAACGCTCTGTTTTTCAGAAAGGCATCATTTCACAAAGTATCAATTTGTCCATCTTCCCCTGTATAAGGTATGTGTAGTGAGTATAACTCTTCTCTCCCCCCTGCTGCAGGTGTGGAGGTTGTTGTTTGGCAGGCTGATCTGTCTGGACGTGAAGGACGCCTTCTGTAGCAGCCTGCTCATCTACAACTTCAGAATCTTTGAGAGGAGATTTGGAACCAGGAAGTTCGCTGTAAGTACCAATAATCAGTGATAGATTAACACAAAGATCCATACAAAGTTAATAAACTTGCTAATGTTGTTATGTGAACTAGATGAAACTACAATAGATGGAATTAGTGTGATGAATTGCCATTTCACACTCTACTTACTCTCATAAACAAAAGCTAAATGTTAAGATCTTTTCTAATAGGATTATAAGTATGATCATCAATCAGAATCAATATAAATTGTACCTGTGTATCATTTAGAGAAGAGTTCACACAACTTCCTCATCTTTCACGAAGCAGTTCTCTGTGTAAACAACATTTGGCAATGGCACTGTTTGTAAAATTGTAGTAAAATGTTTAAAGACTTGCACAAGACTCAACCTTTTCAAGATATGTTTCCAATCTTCTATATTTTGAACTTTACTTCCAGTCCTTCCTGTTTGGCACGTGGGTTCTCTCTGCGCTGATGGACTTCCTGCTGGCTCAGGCTTTCCAGTTTCTGTTTGACTATGAGGTGGAGGAACTGCCCGCAGGACTGTGAGAAGATTTGTCACTTTACTAGCCACAATAGACGATACACTTTTAAGATAAAATAATAAGATAAGATATTCTTTATTACTATTTTTTACTATTTTTAATTACTAATGCATGTGCTGCATGTCTCGAAAGGGAACAACTGTTTGTCACTTATATGAACACTGGAGATTCTGCAATTAAAATATGAAAACATGGTCTGTATTCAAAGAAGAAAAACCCTAATATTGTCTTTCCTATATTTCCTGAAAAGTACTGCTAAATATATATAGTTTTAATATCCATGTTTTTTTTAGTGATCTGTATTAAGCTGCTTTTAATACAATCTTTTCATACAATGACAATTTTATAATTTGGATATATATATATATATAATATCTTTTCCATCCTCTCTCAGGATCGCTCCGGTCTTCTCTCTGTTCGTGCCTTTCTACCGGCTGATCCCCAGCATGCCGGTCACCCAGGTCCTGGGCCACATCCACATCACCAACAAGTCTCTGGTCTACATAGTAGGCTTGCAGGTAAGCCCATGTCTGCTAGTGCGGTGATATATGGGAGGCGAGTGGTGCAGTGGGTCGTGCGTTGTTGTTCGGATCAGGGGGTCACAGGTTCAAACCCCACTGCAGTCAGCATGTCGTTGTGTCCCTGGGCAAGACACTTCACCCCAAATTGCTCCTGTGGGGATTGCCCACAGTATTGAGTATGTAAGTCGCTTTGGATAAAAGCGTCTAACAAGTAACATGTAATGTAATATGCCAATTCATAATTGTTGAGAATACTCTGTCCCCAACGAGTCTGGTTTTAATTGTGTCCGTCATCCTCTCTGTTTCTGTGGGGCAGCTGTTGACGTCCGGTCCCTTCATGTGGCTCGTTGCACTCAGTGGACTTGTAAGTAGCCACATTCTTCTTGTTATTTACTCTGTGTCTAGAAAGTGTACTGGGTGTTTCGTGAAGTCATGATCAGCACTTGAGTGGACTAGAGATCCAAAACAATAAACTTAAATGGGATAAAGATTGTGGTAATTCGCTCTAGATTGTGTGATAACATTTCACAAGTAATTTAATTAATTGTTGCTCAACAGCAATATACCTACCTTGTTGCTTATACCTTCAATCCTAAAAACGTATTTTTTCTTTGCTTACAGATCTCAGGCGGACTGTACCACTCCAATTTCCTGTGGATGCAGAAGCTCCTCTTTGTACCTGCCTGGGTGTCTTGTATTGGGCGGTATATTCTAGAGCCTCTCTTTTCAAGTGAGTAAATCATTAAGTGATCATATAAACACAAAAGCTCCCCCAAAAAAAGCCAATTGACCCTAATGACTACTGTTGCAGGGCCTGGCATGGAGTTTTTGTTTCTCTTGTGTTTGTTCATTGTGTGCACTTTGCATGTATTCTACACAGGGTGACATGTTATTGGTCTGCCTAGTAATGTGTTGTTAACATCTGTTAACATCCAGCCTCCCAGCCGAGCAGTGAGACCCCTGTGGGGATGGGGGCCACTCTGGACATCCAGAGGCAGCAGAGGATGGACATTCTGGACCAGCAGCTGATGTTGGCCCAATACAACGAGTCCACGAGGAACACCAGGCCACAGCCACAGCCACAGGTACAGGGACACACACACTTATAGCAGAATTGGGCCTATTCAGAATAAAACTACACACTACTTTGAATAAGGTTGATGGCTCTAGTGCATCAGGAACCAAAACACAATGGACTGAAAATAAAATGAATATAACTCCCCTCACAGTGCTTCCTAATTAGTATCTATTATGTTATCTATAAAGTCTCCAATTTGCTTTCATAGATGTCAGAGAAATGCAGTTTTCTTACTATATCGAAGTATTTCCAAAGTGCTTGATTCTGCCTCTGTGTCTGTGTGTAGCCTGGGTTCTTACAGTGGACCAGGTTGTTCCCCTCCCTCAGGCAGAGAGGACCGAACCGCCCCCCGATGCAGCCCCGCCCCCAGGCTGAGGCTCCACCCTCCACACAGTCTCCGCTGCTGGACAACTCTCCTGTGGCCGAGGAGCAGGTGGGCGTTCATCTCTGTGTTTCTGCCCCGACTGCATTTTCATTAGCTGATTCTGACAAAGCATCTTTTTAAAGTCTGACCTGCCGAATCAGAAAATGATGCGTGCGTGCATGCATGCCCTTGGCGATATTTAGTTACTGCCACTGGCGATTTTATGCGCACGATCAAACCATCATTAATTAGTAAAGACCCTGGATGAGCAATTAGTACATCTCTACATTTTTCACTGGCTGTATTGGTTCACTTTGTTTTCCTTCTAGACTTTATTTTATTTTATACGTGTAATAACTAGACTCAAAATCTTCACAGACTGCTTATTTTTGTTCATCAATTTTCTTCAAGCATTATTTTATGTCCCTCTATTCCTAACTATGTCCATGGCACCCTTATGTATTATTCCCAGGTGATGCTTTAGCTGCTGCTTCTGTCTTAAATGTACTGTACATTTGTATTTCTACATGTATATTTTCTACTTTTTTAATGCTATTTTATTGCTATTTGAGATGTTTATATTTTGAATGTCTTTTCATTTCTCTAATGTACAATGCCTTGTCTTTTTATGCTGCTGCAGCGCAAAAATGTCCCAAATCTGGATCAATAAAGCACTTCTTATCCTATCTTAACTGATGCTTTTTTTTGGTTTAACTTCAGGTTGCCCTGTTGGTGGAAATGGGCTTTACCAGGACAGATGCCCTGGAGGCCCTCAGAGCTTCAAACAACGACATAAACATGGCAACCAATTTCCTCTTGCAACACTGAGAGAGTGAGAGAGCAAACAGAGGAGGACAGAGAAAGAAATCAGGAAGAGGAGAAACCAAAGGAGCGAAAAGCAACACGGAGGAAATGAAAGACAGTGAATGATGGACAAATTGTACAGCCTGTGTCACTGCTCGCTGAAGCAGTTGTCAGGCTGACTCAACCTGAACCAATTCCGATATCAGGCTGATTAATGAAGAGGTGTGAAGCACAAGCTGGGAGACATTTGCGTCATAGCTTTCTGAAGGCCGCTGTAGTGTGAAACAGGCGTCATAGCTCAAGGCAGACGAGTTACACCTCTATATCTGAGGGGTTTCCTGGGAAAAATATACGGCAGTGAAGAGAATATGAGGTGATTATTTCCTTGAGGCTGAAGCACAGGAATCAGCTGCCATCCCACTTACAGCTGTTGGAAATAACATTTTATAAAACCCACTGTCCTGTAATGACACTCTACTTTCAAAACGGCTTACCATCAGAAACAGTTTTATTGCCAAGTAGGTTAACACATTTGCTTTGGTGTTTAACTAGCATCTTAGACCCTGATTACTGCTAAGAAATGATCAATATGACAACGAAAAAGAGCATTTCAAATGGATTTGATTAAAAAATTCATCCACACAGTTGTTATTTCCTTTTGCAGTGTTTCATAGAAGTTGCAGGGCTCCACCCTTTCCTGCGTGCGATGTTTTAACAAAGCCTCACTGACAGTAACTGTAGGAGCCACTTCTCTCCATTCGTCCCTCTAAAAGTACATTGTGGGTGACAGACAGCTATCTCAGGGTCTTTGATGCGACTTCTTCCAAAAATGACAATCATATTTACAGATATGGGTGCCCATACGTAAACAAAGTATCCATTTTGAGGAGGAGGTCATGTTTCACACTCTTGTTTCTGTATGACGTCATTTCATGCACTCACTCCCCAGGTTTTATTTATTCTGTCTTAAAGGTGGGGTAGGTAATTTTGGAGAAACCAGCTCGAGTGCGCTAGAATTTGAAAATACACAGCCGGAAAAATTTGGTCGTGCTTTTTACAGTATTACGGCTTCCACAGATGAAATTCTTTTATGGATTTTTTGTCAAAGCACTTAAGATATTCATTGCTATCGGGATGTTAAGAGCATTCCATGGAATATAACAAAAAGTGTATCACAAGCCGGTTTCTCAAACTTACCTACCCCACCTTTAACTGAGTTTGAGTCTTTTCTCTACCAGCACACATGTCTGGATATTGTTAAGTCTTAAAAGGCTGGTGATATTTATTATGCAATATCATGACAAGAGACATTTATGGAGACTATGTACGGCATAGTTTCTACTTTGTGTATATAAACATGCAAACATGTGCGAGAGAAGAAACATTGCAGCCACTGTGTATTGATGTCAAAGACAGATGCTAGTTTTATATTTTGTGCGTAATTATTAATAATATATGACCACTGAGATGAGTCTGTCATTTCTGTGTATGTATTCTAAGAGTGGTATAATAGTATATGGGTGTGATGAGGAAGTTGTTGCATGGACAACTTTCTGGTGAATTGTAATGAATCATTTGATCTGAAGAATAAATCAAATGTCAAACACAATTTTTGATGATATTGATTTTCCTGAGTATTTACTTCATCTGATCCCAGTATTCACTTACACTCCTGTTACTGAGTTTGAGGTACTAGCAAAATCTTGAATAGCAACGCTATGCCAATAAACATTTATATCTGGCTCTTGAGGGCTCTGAAGTGAAGTGTACTTCTTGCGCCAAATCCATCAAAGTCAAATCAAAGTTTATTTATTTAGCCCATTTATTTGTACATGAATTATTTATTCCTGTATTTTCTTCCACATTTATTTAAATTTTTTCTTTCACATTTATTTATTCTTATATTTTGTTATTCCTGTATTTATTCCTGTATTTATTCTGTATTTGTGCATTTATTTGTTTTGTACTTATGTCATGTTCTGTCCTCCATACCTGTGTGCTCGTTTGTGCAAAAAGGTACAAATTCACTCCAAAACACATCACAGCATGACCTATAGTTGGGCTTTCATTGATTTGAAAACACATTGGTGGTCCAGAGGTCTATGCATTGTTTTTTCATGCTCAAGGTTCAACACACAGGGGAGGGACATATTTTGTCTTCTGCTATGCTGATGTTAAATCTGGAGAAATTGTCCACACCACTTTTTTTAACAAAGTGATGCCCATGCACAACACACTACAAATGGTTTGTTGACATAGAATTGCTTTGCTGTTGTGGTAATACTTTTTAACACATGGTGGCACTCTTGTGATAAGATGTTTATTTTTTCAGGGTAATTTACATATTTACATCAAGATAAAATGTTAAATCACGACAACGGGCTGAAAATGAAAAGTGACAATATAAATGTAATGGATTTTTATGTGACAGTTGGAGATAATGGAAAAGGTTAAAGGACTGATATATTGAAAATAAACCAGATTTAAACGTCCGATAGTTATGCCTTTTAGTGCTTCTAACAAGCATTAAAAAAAAAGAATCCAAATATTTAATGGTGGAAAAAGACACTTTGCTCTCAACTAAGGGAATAGAAATAGATTCATTTAAAAAAGTTGCAAGCCAAACGAGTATGGAGCCACTTTCTTAAGAGATTCAGTATCTTCCAGAAACTCCTTCAAATCCAAAGCAGCTGCAACGGTTTTATTCATGTACTTCCTTGTGAGTCGTCTGTTGTCTCCAAGACTACTATGTGTCAGGCAGAAACCAGTTTATATAAAACAGGACAATTGTGTTTATTCGTTGATCTGCCTTTTGTCATCTTCTCTCTCCAAGGTCCCTCTTAGAGATTCTTGTATCGGCTCTTTTATACTTTAAAAAATAATCCACTGCAAAGATGAATGATTCCTCTTTGCCTCATAACATTCAAATTGTTCTGTCACAATACATATCTAAGAAAAAAAACACATTTAATTCACAAGCAATTTAATAATCCAGACAAGTGTCTCTCAAACTGTATCAATATTTTTAATTTCTCCAGGTGTTAAAGAAAAGCAATAAAGGTGGGCTTTTAGTGGGATATTTTGCACGTTACTGTTTGTATTTCAGGAGAATACAGAAGGTATTAAACATAAAATAATATTCACTTTGCGGCTGGTATGCATTTAAAGGCTTGCATACTCTCAATGGAAAGCATACATTGTTCAGCGTTTCGAAGAAAGACATAACTGTAGCAAGATATAACAAGATTTGAACAAAAAAACATGTTCCCATTGTTTGGTTTCCTTTCATCACTAGATGGAGACATTGAGTGGGGTGTGTGGTCCTGTTGTTGCCACTGAGCTCTGCCACACCCACCCTCTCAGATTATTCCAGTGAGCAGACAGCTCCAGCAGACAGTCTCGCTCCAGGGTGACTGAATTTCAAAAATGATGCACATCTCTCAAGTCACACAATTTCTGAGCATGTGGTTTGCCAAGTATTCCCTGATTGACACAAAGCAAAAAAGGACTCTTTGAGCAGCTTTTGTCTTCCATCTCGCATGTGTTGCACTTCAAATCTCGCCTGAGCCCCTCAAAAAACATGTTTTGTTTTGACTAAAAGGTCTCCTGAGTTCACAGTGACACAGTTCCTTTCAGCCGGGGCTGAAGTTGAACCCAGTCAAGCGGTGCATCTTTTAATGGCTGCCGAATTGAAAAGCAGCTTAAACCAAAGTGATTAATATCTCTGTGTGTGTCTTTGTGTTTCAGTATTTAATTAAAAGCACTGATGAAAGGAAAAAGACTTTACTGACAACCAAACTCATTAGGGAGATTCTTTTGTGAAATGCCCACTTAATGTGCAGCATTAATCACGCTTCATTTGGGGCCCAATTATTTTGATAATATATTTTGGAGCTTTAGGAGGTTGTTTTAGTAATTTTTTCTATTCCAAAATGACTGTAAATGATCTATCAAGGGTACCATATGTGAACTTATATTGTCATTATGTGTGAGCAAGCATGTCTTTATACAAACTGTGTGAAAATGTACTTGCATGTCCTTGTGTTAAACCAGGAGTATCAGCTATATGATGATGAATGTTCTCAGGGTTTTTCCATGTCTGGCAGGGAAACGATTATCATTTACTGTACAGCAGACTGGCCTTGAAGCATCAGCAGTTGTGTCGGGCAATTTGTCATTTCAGGTAAGCCGTCTGTGGCTCTATTAACCAAGGCCTACTGTATGCTATGACGTGCCTCAGATCAACAGAGGGATGTCTGTTTGTGTTTCTCATCCTGCATCTATCCTTTGGACAGAACAGTTTGAGTTGTAAATGTTAATTATCAAAGATTTGCAACACTCTAAGGAGTTTATTATTATCCATCTCAACTTGAAAAACATAAACTTCTTTGTAAATTGTAAATGTTCTATCAGTTTATGTATGAGTCAAATGCTAGGGCTTGAAAAATGTCCAAACTTAGCAAATTGTCTATTTCATGCTATAGTTTTATAGATTAAACATAACATATTTAACAGAGTTCGATTCAGAGAGGCCTGCATTTTTTTGGCATCTTGTAGGATTCTGGGTTTCTTTTAATTGGACTGAGGCAAGTCTAGGCACAGATCTAGTGTGAGATGTCAACACACAAAAGGAAAAGGGAGAAAAAACAAGTTGCACACCACAAGCTGTCACCATTGCTGAAAGAGAAAAAACAGGTTGAACAAACCCACAAATCCTAAAGTTACCAGAGCCAAGCCTTAACGATTAAAGAAGATTGCTCTCCTTTTGATGTAGCCGAAGCAAGCACAGACTAAACAGACCGCAAATGGCATACAAGAGCCAGCAGAATAGAAGTGAAATACCAAGCGCCTGAATGGCCTAAGGGCAGGTACATTGTTGTGCCCCATTAACTATGAGGTTTGTGTCAAAATGACGTGGGGAAAACATCAATGGCCTCTGCCGCTTGCTCTCTGCCCTGAGAACTGAATGCAAACATTCCCACCGGCTGCACAGCGCACTCACGCACATCCATGTGGAAGAGGTATATACACACACACATAGAGTAAACATACAGAAACCAGATAACCTGTGAGCGTAAAGGACATGGACAGACTGTTATTGTGAGTCGAATGAATCAAGCAAACAAATGATGTCATTATCTCAAATCCCACTGCCTTCAATATCATACACATATCAGTGGGAGGCATTTGGCATTCTCGCCTTCCATAGCTTTGTGCGCACAAGTGAGAAAGAAAAAAGAGACGGCATTGTTCTGGATTATTCTCAAACATGACACTTTCACATGCAATGACACAGTAAGAAAATCATTCAGCTGCTTTGGTATTTCAGCTATCCACTGGAACGGCGTCACAAATACCTTGACATGTTTCTGCAGAAAGCTTCCCTCAGGGCATTCTCCTGTGCTGCTAATGTGTTTTTTTAAAGCATTAGTGTAATAAAAAGGCATACAAACGAACGATCATGCAGAAACATGATGGGAGCAGGAGGAAAGCTGTAATAAGCATGTCCCCATGGTAACCACACAAAACGGCATGCACTCACCATGGCAACAGAGCTGGTGAGGGAATATAGCGGAGACAGGGTTAGAGCTGGTGCTGGCCTCTGGCTGTTTGAAGTGATACACGCATGCCAGCAGCACAGCATCAGCAAGTAGTTCACTCACACAGAAACATTAACACTAACATGTTACTTCTGCAAATAAATACTGACACTGACATGATACTGTAAGTGTACATTTTCCAAAATATGACAAATTATTCTATAGTGGACCTTATGTGAAAGCTATGTTTATTAATATAATCATTTGTATTAACTTTGGATCAAAGACAAAGGGAAAAGTGAAAGAAGTGACTCATAAAAACAAACCAACAGAGAACTAACACCTAACTCCGAAGCTCCCCTTTTAGCATCTTTTAGCTCTTTGTTTTGGTTTGTTTCTGTTCACACTTATGGCGCATTTCCACTACAGCGCGGAGCGCGGTTTAAGCGTGTTAAATCCCATCTGTGCTTTTCTTCTTGTGAGACGTCATTTTTTTAAATATTAGTAATAGCCTGCTGCCTTCCAAAGTTATGAATTCTCAAAATATTATATTTATGTGGAACAATTATGTATTCATGCTCGTCTCTTGTGTTGGGTGGCAGGTAGGTTACATCACTTCCGCCTAAAACCCAGGAGGTATACGATCTAGCACTAACCCAGACAAGACGGCAGGCGAAAAACCTTTTAAAATGCGTGTTTTCTGAATGGAGATCGGCTAAGCTAACGTTGTATATGCTCCGACCGTCCACATCCACAACAACGGCCTACAGACATAAATAAACCAGCGACTGTATTCGCCATGACACAGACAGTCTGTGGTTTGTACTTGTTTAACTTTTGTCTAGTTTCCAAACAGATATGAGGAGCTGTGAGCTCTGAGGCTAACAGCTAACGGCTGATGTTGGTTTTGTGTTTCGCATTGAAGATGACGTCACGGCTCCGCCTACACTGCGTTACTATAGTTACTACCCCAGTTCCTAAACTGTAATGGAAACGCAGCATAAAGTGAGCCTGGCCTACCAAGGCCTAACTATTCCGTAGTAAGCCGCGCGAGGCCCTGCCGTGGAAG